AAAGTCGATGATCGCCGTGTCTCGCAGCCGCCGCACGACACCTAGCACATCCATGGGCCGCGCCTGGAGCTTGAGCTTCACCTCGAGCTCGAAGAGCAGCTTGTCGTCGGCCTCGGAGACCGCGACCGGCGGGAACGTCCAGCCACGCGCCGTGTCGGTCGGCGGCTCGGCCAGCGCTGGAGCCTCCTGGAGGACTTCTCGAGGTTGAGCTGGCGCTAGCGCCGTGCTACTTATCGTCGCGCGCGGTCGCATGGCCGGCGCCGGGACGTCGAGCTGCTGGAGGAGGGTCGCGGCCTGTGGGTAGTCGATGGCGAGGGCGGGCAGGCTGTCTGCGAGCATGGCCGGAGCGCCTGCGGGAGCGCCGACGGCGCCGGCCAGAGCCCATGGCTGACCTTGCTCTCGATCGTGTGGAGGGCACGGACGCGGATCTCCTCGATCGGGTGCGCCAGCTTGCGCACGACCGCCTCCATGGTCTTTAACGCCAAATCCACGCGTTAAAGTGGGGAGGGGGTCCATTTATACGCTCCGGGTACCCTCAAACAAGAAACGTCGAGTTTCGATACAAATGGGTTCTGTTTCAGCTGCACCCCCTACTGTATTGAGCGTCACCCGGTCCATGGACCTGCGAGGCTCGATAAAGTGCGTGCCGGTTGATTCGCACTTTGGCCGTGTACTCGGTAAGCTCCAGTCAAGTTTGGATTGCCATGGTCCAGCGGCTCTACGTGGGGCGGCTGCCCGAGGATGTGACCAAGGCCGAGCTTGTCTCGCGCTTCGAGCGCCTCCTCGCCGGCAACGCCGACCTGCGCATCGACGACGTCCAGCTCATGGCCAACTCGGCGGCCAACGACTTTGCCTACCTGCAGATCGCATCGGCCTCTGGCGATGCGGCCGCCGAGACTGCAACCGTCGACGCCTTTGTCAAGGCGTACCACAACACCAAGTGGAAGGGCAAGCGACTGCGCGTCGAGCCGGCCAAGCCCGACTTTATGCAGCGGCTGCAGGCGGTGTGGACCAACGACGAGGTCGCCAAGGCCGAGGTACTCGCCGAGCGTGAGCGCGCCTTTGCCCCGCCCAAGACGACGAAGCGCCGGCAATGGAGCTAAAGAAGTCCAAGCGCTACAAGGGCAAGCGCATGCTCTTTGACGACGATGGCGTCGTCTCGATCGTGGCGTCGAAGGCTCCCGTGGCGACTACGGTCGTTGCCGAGGCCCCACCGTCGGACAAGGAAGACGCCAACGAGGACGACGGTCACCTGAGCTCTGAGACCTCGGACGACGAAGCCAAGAGCGACGAAGAGGAGGCCTCGGCGGATGCCATCGACGACGCGGCCAATGACGACGACGACACGGTTGAAGCCGAGGTTGAAGTGCCGGTCGCGGACGCCGAGTTAAGCTCCGAGACATCGGACGAGGACGTTGATGAGCCGGAGGATGCGGCCATGAGCTCCGAGACGTCAGACGACGAAGATAAAGATGCCGAGCAAGACGATGCGGACGCGGCTGTCGAGCAAGACGACGTTGAGGCGGACGAAGCGTCGCCGGCCGACGACATTGACATGGAGGCTGAGATCGAGCTGGAGCTCGCCTACGCGCAGGCGCAAGCAGCTCCAGCAGCAGCAGCAGCAGCAGCGAGCCGGTGACGGCGACGGACGCGGACGCGCTCCCGAAGCGGCAGGTGGCCGACGTCCTCGCTTTTGGCGCGAGCTTTTGCAAGCCGGACCCGTGGACCAAGACGCACGAGGCCGACTGGATGACGCTGCGGAAGCCGCGAACGCCCGTCGTCTCGCTGCCATCAAGGAGCGCGAGGCGCAGATGGCCGCGATGAAGAAGCAGTTCCAAAAGCCCCGCCCCAAGAATGCGTAGGGGTAGGTGTAGAACGACGATGTGTAAATTATCTGCTCTCGATGCACCGTGTGTACCACAATGTTGCAGTCCACACACTAGTAGACGATATCCATGTCGGTATCTCACTACTTGCAGTCGTCGCCACCACCAAGGGCAACCGTTGTCTGTGTGACCATTGTCAGAGGACGCGACCTTGCCGCCATGGGTCGAAGTTCTATACGAAGTTCGAAGTCAAAGGATTGGCGAATCAGACGCTGGCAATTGTATCTTAGCTCCGCACCACGGATCAAGGGATGCCTCTCGCACGCGGGCCACTGAACGACGCGCATGGCGATGAAGCCTCCAAGACCTTGGCTTACGTCTGCGCGGATGTTGCGCTGGCGATGGTTGTAGTGTCGGCGGCGGTGTGTCTGCAGCGCTGGCCCGGTTTCGACCAGAGGTTGGGTTGGCGGGTGAGCGCCACGGACGATGGGTCGTGCAAGACACGGCGGAGGCGGTGTATATAAGGAGAAATTCTATGGATTAACATGGGAAAATAATGCATTGGTTTACTTCTTGGCCTTCTTCTTCAGGCGCGCCTCGGCAAACTTGTTGGCCATGAAGCGGGCCTGCTTGGCCTTGGGGTTCAAGGCCGTCGGCTTGCCGGGCTTGTTGCCCTTGCCCACCGGCTGGTTCTTGCCCTGGACCTTCTTGACCGCAGGCGCCGCGGGCTTGGCCGCGGGCTTGGCGGCGGGCTTGGCGGCGGGCTTGGCGGCCGGCTTCGTGGCCGTCTTTTGCTGCTTCTTGACGGGCTTGGCTTCCACGACGGGCTCCTCTTCTTCCTCCTCCGAGGCCTCTTCCTCTTCGGCTTCTTCCTCCTCCGAGGCTTCTTCTTCGACAGCCTCGTCTTCCTCAGCTTCTTCCTCAGCTTCGTCCTCGCTGGCCTCACCCGCGATCTCGTCGTCGCTGTCTTCTTCAACGACCGACGCGTCGACGGCATCGGCCGCCTTCTTGTTGGCCTTCTCGAGCTGGCGCTTCTGGCGCTTGGAGAGCACCTTGGACTCGTTGTCCGAGTCGTACTCGTCCTTGTTGTCGTCGTCGTCCGAGCCGTCGTCCGGCTTGGCGTTCGCGTACTTCTTGAACTTGGCCACGTAGAAGCCGTCCATGTTGTGCACGTGCGGGTAGAAGCGGCGCGTGAGCGTCATGCTCGGGTGGAAGCGCTGCTGCTGGTAGCGGGTGAAGCCGGGCTTGCCGTGGTCGAGGCCGCAGTCGACGAGCTTGACCGCGCGCTTCTTGAGCGCGTACTCGACAACCGCTTCGTTCTCTTCGACCATGACCGAGCACGTCGAGTAGACAATGATGCCGCCGGACGCGCTCTTGGCGTCGACGGCGTCGATGGCCGCGAGAATGAGTTCCTTCTGGAGGTGCGAGAGGCGGAAGACGTCCTTCTCCGTCTTCTGCGTCTTGATGGACGGGTCGCGCGCAATGACGCCCATGCCCGTGCACGGCGCATCGAGGAGGACGCGGTCAAAGCCGGTGAAGACGCTCGGGAGCTTGCGGCCGTCGTAGTTGGAGACGGCGCAGTTCTTGACGCCGAGGCGGTGGAGATTGGCCACCGTGGCCTTGAGGCGGTTCTTCTTCAGGTCGTTCGCGATGAGCGTGCCCGAGTTGCGCATGAGCTGGGCCACGTACGTGGTCTTGCCGCCCGGCGCGCAGCACATGTCGAGGATGCGCTCGTTGGCTTCGGGCGCGAGCGCCAGCACCGGGCCGAACGACGACGCCGACTGGAGCATGTAGTGGCCGGAGAGGTACTCGGGCGTCGCACCGATCGGGACCGGCGAGTCGTAGATCTTGAGGCCGACCTTGGACCACTTGGCGAGCGGGTCGAGGTTCACACCGCGCTGGATGAGCGCCTGGGCGAGGTCGCGCCGGCGCGTCTTGAGCGTGTTGGCACGGATGACGAGCGGGCGCGGCTGCTCGTTGGCCTCGATGAACTCGAGCGTCTCGGCGGGCGAGAACATCTGCATGAAGAGCACCATGAGGTCGCGGTTGTAGCCAAAGTACGACGCCATGTCGGTCGTGAGCTGGTCAATGTACTCGGAGCGGCTGCGATGGGCCTCGCGGCGCTCCTTGAAGTGCGCCAGGACTTCAATGACGTCCTTGATGCGCTGGTAGACGTCCGACGCGTCAAGACCGCCGGCCTCGTCGTCGTCCTCGTCGTCTTCGTCCGGGAGCTCGTACTTGCCCTGGTTGGCGAGGTTGAGCTGCATCTCTTCCTCGGCGTCCTCCTCGTCCTGGGCCTCCTTGGCTGCGAGGCGCGCGGCCTTGCGCTCAAACTCGGTCATGTGCTCGTCGTCCGAGTCTTCATCCTCGTCGTCGCTGCCAGCGTTCTATCGTAGCATGAGCTGCCTGCGTTCGCATGTGGTAGTGGTGGTTACCTTGGGCTTGAGCCACTTGGCGTTACCGTCCGAGAAGCCCTTGGGCGTCGCATCGTCGTCGTAGTTGTCGTCGTCGTCGTCTTCGTCATCGTCGTCTTCATCGACATCCTGCTCGTCTTCCGAGACCTCTTCCTCGTTCTCGCTGGCCATGGGCTCATCTTCCGACTCGGACTCGGGCACGACGACCTTGGCCGCCTTCTTGGACTTGGCCGCGATGGCTTCGTACTTGCCCTTCTTGGAGACCGGCGCGGGCGCGTCGAGCCTAGGCCATCGTGAGCTACGCGGTCATGGCGGGTCGGTGGACCTACTTGCGCTTCTGCGTCGTCTGCTGCTTCTTGGCGGCCATCGAAGCTACTTGAGGATTGGCTGCAATGCCATTGGATCGAGCTGCAGCCTCGCGTTTGGTTGGCTGGTTGACCCCCTCGATACAAGCACATCTCAAAAACCTTTTTGTTTGAGTATGCATTGATAGAGGTAGTACGTGGCAGCACCAGAGGCCACAGCGTTCGAGGTCTGCCCTGTGACGTGGTGGCGGCGTCGTCGTCGTGGCCACTCCGAGTCTTTGCAACGGATTGGACAATCAATGCAGCGTATCGAGGGTGCCATCGTTGTGTGGGCCAGCAATCGACTCGGCTGCAGCCTTGGACGCTGGGAAAGCCGTCGGATGCGAGTCGCGCCACCGTCGGATGCGAGTCGCGCCACCGTCGCCAAGGTGTTGCAATGGTCCTTGGGGTGGAAGCATTATCAGAGGACAGTTCATTTCTCCGATGAGCAATAACAGTTCAAGATGCCAACGATGGCGTGCGTATCGTCGGGATGGCGGTGATTTTTCGAGCGGGACGAGGTGCAAGCACCATGAGCAAAGCTACCAATCGAGCATGAGGTAGAGCAGTGCGCCGTGCATCGGCAGAAGACGAGGCAACCAAGTGGTGTGTCCTAAACAAAACGATCGCGCGAGATGAACGCGGCTTCATTTGGCCAAGCCACGTGGACCATGGCCATCGAGATAACACATGCGGGAACCAAAAGAGCATTACGACCTATCTAGATCAATATAGCAGGTTTGTATGCAAGTGCACCTTTGGAGCGCGGCGCCGATGGGGCAAAACGACGCGCTGGACGAGCCAAGGGCCTACAGTATGACGTGCGGTTATATGCGGCTTTATGTGCCTATATATGGTTAGTGCCATTATTAACAGTTTCAGTCATTGCTGTAGCTTTACAGCTCGCCCGCCGACACAAAGTAGCATTTCGTGCTCCCCAAAGTGTTGTGTATTGATGTGCCAAGTATGGGCGATTCCGTTTTGAAACGCGATTCGGGCGATGCGATGCCCAGTGCTGCTGGCAGTCGCGCTCCAGCGGTCATCATTGGTTAAAAATACCGAAAATGAACCAATCAAGCGCATCAAATAAATGGCATTCGATTTCTATTTTATAGCAGTGAAATTGTATGGTGATTCTGCAAGCTTTGTCAACGTTCCAGCCGCTTCCGCGTTCATACTTACATCCATCGTTATCGCACGCGTCGGTGTTTGCGGAACGCATGCGATTCTTTCGCAGCACACGCACGGTACGACAGAGATGCTTCTGCTACGCCTAGCTTACACTCTGCAATCTTGACGCGATTGGGATCGTCCGTAACGCTGAGCTCGATCATATTAATTTATAGAATATTTCAAGTTGATGCATATCGCAACATGGAGGTAAAACGCGCGTCCACGATGCAGCTTTCCCACCACACCAGCACAGACGAAATAATGCGTTCACAGCAAAGCATACATTGTGGTCATTAGTCCAATGCTATACATGCTACATAGAGTCGCCTACTGGTTCCGGGCACTCATCGCCCAGAGTGTCCGTCGTGCCATGGATGCTGTGGATGCGGTCGTTGCGCGCGCGAGGCTAGTGGGTCTTAGGCAGCGGTATCGACGACGTCGGCTCCAAAAAGAGTGCGCCAGCCGAGCGCGCGATATTGATGTTGGTCGTGATGCTGCAGACCGGGTACCCGTCAAATACAAATTGTGAGTACTTGGAGATCTTGGCCGCCGCCTGGCCATCAGTGCCTGCAGAAAAACATCCAAATCAAACATCATTGCCGTTATCTTCATGTAGTCACTCTTTGCACCCAACAACGCAGGCCAAGTGGAGCACCCTTGGTCTTTATCATGCGCAGCACGACCCGGTCACCGGCGACTGGGGGGACAATCGATGTCACCCGTTGCCGTTGCAATCTTACCGCCTGACGATGGTCTACTGCCCTGACGCGCCGCCAGTCGTCGAGCTTGACTGTAGTGCTTTGGACACAGAGTGCGCTGTCGGCACTTGAACATAGCTATCGCTGATCGATTGCCGCGACGTCGGCATAGACGACTGGAACGCTCGACAGTGATCGTGCAAGAAGACAGGATAGGTATGACCCATGTTGACCGCATTTCACGGCCCGAGAACTACTGTGAGTGCTCGCGATGCATCTGATAGCCTATCTGATAGCATGGCAACGATAAGGATTCAAATGCAGTTTGTTGCTCGTCACGTCGACTTGTAGTTTCAAAACTACAGAGTACTGTACTCGAACGGCCCATCTCTCACCAAGATCACGATTCGGGCATATAGGCACTATTGAACCCAAGTGCCTGTGAGCCCGCATGAACATGTAAAAACACGCCAGAGAATTCAGGCAATCCATCAAGCGTGGATTCTAGGACAAATGATGCACTGCAGTAGAAGTAAAGATCGCAAAACACTGCTGATAGAGTGTGCACATGTCCGTCGCATGCGTCAATCGGTGTCCAAAACAGCGGTGATTGTTTTCTTCTCCTTGAAATAATGCAACGCTAGTCGCAGGGAGGAATGACAACCAGCTGGATGAAGCCATAAAGGCTGCATCGCATGTTTGTGCAAATGTAAACAGGACATCCACTCGTCGCAAGTTGGTACCAGCCGTGTGTTCACCGTTTCAGCCACTATCAGGTGTAGGCTTCCGGGGTTGCTGCAATACGAGCAGTGCAGAAGCTCGGCACTTGGAGCTTCGACCTCACTCTGAAATTTGCACCGCCATGGTCCTTCGCCTTCCTCTCGCCGCGCTCGTTGCTGCGGTCGCTGTATACGCCTCCGATGCTGCGTGCGGTGATTTGCCAGTTGTCAGCCCCACGACTCCGACGCCGACGACCCCGACACCTTCGGCCGCTCCGGAGCCCACGACGCCGACACCCTCGGCCGCTCCGACGCCCACGACGCCGACGCCTTCGACCACTCCGGAGCCCACGGCTCCAACGCCCAAGCCGACGTCGGCCACACCGACCATGAAGCCGGCCCCGACGACGTGGGTCGAAGTGGCGCGTGATGGCAAGCAAGTGGCCGCCGACAACGACTACGTCTGCCTCCTCGACACGGCCAAGCAGGTGGCCTGCGCCATGGCGCCGTCGACGACGACCAAGTGGGTTAAGCGCAATGGCGAGTGGTCCATGATCGCAGTTGGTGGCAACTCGCTCGTCGAGTACAGCTACGCGAAGGGCAACGCCGTCATCTCGGACATCAAGAACAACACTTCGGTCGATGTCTCGGTCAACTTTGGTTCGCACGTTGCGACCGACGGTGACATCTTTTGCGCCCGCGAGCAGAAGGACACAAGCTATATCTACATGAAGTGCCTTCCGTACACGGACAAGTTTGGTCAGCAGAAGTGGAAGCACCAGGAGGCGGCCAAGCATTACTTGGCCTTCCATGCCGGTGCGTCGACGCTCTATGCCCTCGACGAAGTCCACAACTTGCATGTCGGCGCGACGGCCGAGATCGCGTCCGGCGAAGTCAAGTGGACCGATGTCAAGAGCCCTGGCTTCTCGCACATTGCGTTCGATGGCACGCGCGTCTGCGGTATCACGGCCTTGTTCAAGGAGATCCAGTGCAGCATCAGTCCGCTCTCGGAGAAGCGCATTACGTGGTCCGAGCCGCTTGCTGGTCGCACGTGGATCAGCCTCGCGCTCAGCAGCGACTTGATCTATGCCGTTGACGAAGCGGGCTCGGTTCAAATGATTGGCGCGCCCAAGACGATGTAAGCGTTGTTTCTCCCACGCACTAGTTACCGGTAATGCAGTGCATTTCGGTCTCTTCTTCGGTTTCTGTGACAAGAAACCTTGTTTGTTGGCTCTAACGTTACGGTGAAAAAGTTGATGCCGGCGGCGAGGCAGCGCCAATACGCAGCGAGAGCGTCAACACCGCACTCAACCCGAGGTCGCTTGGTAGATTGCAGGAAGCGATAGATCGTCGCGGCCAAACTGACTGCCGTTTTATAGTAGACGATGAAAACAACGGGCTTGGCGGCTTCGACGTTGTTCGAGCGTTGTACGTCCAGCAAGTTGGCCCGGTACGTGCACCGCTGGCGCGCGGGACGCGTCCCAGGACTGCTAATGCATGACCTTTGGCACGTCGCCGCTTGCTTGAAGCGCTGGGGTATAGGGCTTTTGGAGGTTTGGAGACCTTTGAACTAGCTCGTCAAGCTTTTACAATTATCGGCAGCGTTTCATGGACGAGCGCAAGAAAAGAGCACGTTGTCGCGCCTTGATGTCCTGCTCCCCGACGACCGAAATCGCTGTCTCCATCTGTAGCAGCTCCGAGATCGCGTAGAATCCCTTGCCCTACGAGGGCGCAGGCGCCGTTGCGGAAAAAAGGTCATTGCACTTGAGCCAGACGTCGACGTGTTGAGAGTTATGTCGTCTATCTGCCGAAACAGACGCTGAGAGTGAGATCCTCGGGCTGGTGCGAAATGTGCGGACGATGGCCTCGACTTGTATAATACGGCTGGCGCGGGTCCTTTGGCGGCATATCTGGATATTATCCGGATAAAAACCGGATAATATCCAGATATCGACAGCAAGTGCAATTCCAAGTCGACACGAAGACAAGCCAGAGGCATGGGCGATGCGGCAGAAGAGGCTACGCGATCGCCGCATCGTGTTCGGAGCGCGCGCGGCATCTCACGGCATCGAGCCTGACGCATACAGTCTCGGGCACCTTATGTTGAAAGGGGCGGAACCCCGCGGAGAGGAAGGAGTCCGACTTACCCGAAGAGGATGAGGTAGATTAGTGGAGGGCAAGTGAGGAGCCAACTGGCTCCGTTGGCTAGGCTATCGTTCTAGATATGACGGCTCTTGCTACTGTTCTACTGTTCTACGCTGGAGAGACGCTGGCTAACACTATCTACGTGTCGAGACTATGCTTCAACACCTTACGCATGATGTCCTGCTGCTTGAACACGGCAGCCAGCCCCGAACCTTTTGCTCAACGTCGCCTTAACTCTCCACTTGATTTGCCAACGAGCGCAGCTTCTCGCCCTCGACACACACCAACATTGGCCGCGCGCGCCCAAGGGCCTCAAACTCAACGTAAACGCGATCGTGTGCGCGCCCGTTCGCGTCTGGCGCGTGGTACGACACTCTTTCTACGTCACGTCCATCTCACCGAGTGTCTGGGTGCATGAATTAGTCGAGCTTTTGACGCTGCTGATGCTCGTGCGTCTCCTCCACCACTGCGTCGCGAGCGAGCGGTTTGCGAACCAGCTCTGGACGACGTTTGCACAGGCGCTTCTGGAGCGGATGCCATGGTCCGCCAAGCAACTGCGGACGTAAACGCGGTCGTCATCGCTCGCATGTATTCTCCGCTGCGCTGGATCGTCTCCTGCTCGACATGCACGAGGCCGAAATAATTGCACTCTCTTGCATCACTAACCTGACATGTACGGTGTGCGCAAGAATGCCTTTGGGAGCGACGACTGCACGCGCTTCAAGGGATGTGTGCCTTGAGCGACGACGTCGTCCCGCCCGCCGCCGCCAAGTACTGGCGCTGGGCGACACCACCGTCGCTGTCTGTGCCGCCGGTGCCGAGGTCACCTTCGAGAGACACGGCGTCATTTTGAAACCTGCTCTCGACAAGACGAAACAGCTGGCACCGGGCTCACCCTTGCACTGCTGGGGCTTCTGCCTCAAAAACGACCCGAGCTTGCCTTACCATTGCCATCGGCACGTATTGCTTCTTTGATATCTCTTTGGTGTGAACACTGGTACGTAGCTCGTGTTGACGGGGACACCGATTGATGGCTGCAGTCGGTGTGGCTCATCACGGTATCTCATGACTCCCTAGTTCAAAGTAGGTGATATCCGGTTGGTTTAGAAGGCATGGCACCAGTCGTACGCGATGTTGGGTGTGCGCGTCGCGTCCTTGCTGCTGCTGTCGGTCGCGCCATGTCCGTCTATATAATAGTACCCTCTGACAATTTGACAATGCAAATATCCTAAGTACACGTGCAACGACACCTCAGAGCGCGCCGCTGTTATACTAGTCGCAGCTCGGGAAGGCGGTCCTTACTCGCAATGGTGTTGTCTCACGTGTCATCGCCAAGCGCTCGTACTCGTAGGCTAGAGATGTGATATTCACGATGGGGTATACGATGGGGTAATATGGGAAGTAAAAAGCTTCAAAACTTGATCGGCATGACGTGGCACTCGGAAAATGACCCATTTCCGCGTGGACGCCGTCGTGTAAAAACGAAATTGACGAAGGCGGCACGCAACACCTCGAAGCATTTTCACAAGAGAATTAGAGCAACCTTGAGTACTACTGATTCTCCAATTTGCGCTCGAGGGCCTCGGTCGCACGACTCCGCGTCACACGGTAGGTCGATCGCTAGCTGGTGTCCTCTCAACGGTGGCAGAGGTCTTTCTTTCATCACGCATTCCTGCAGTGCAGGATACTCGTTTACCGAGCAGAGTCTTACGGACGACAAGAATCGCTGCGTCCTCATCAGGGGTGAAGAATAGCTACCCCTGGTTCTCATGCAGCATGCGAGTGCCGCTTCGAGGACCGCTACCACCAAGCACGACCGATGGTACCAGGAACATTTTGAGCAACGTCGCAGCCCTCGCGCGCCGGTGCTAGTACCTTGGAATAGGCGCATACCGGTGCAAAAGAGCCTCATGGAGTTGTCGCTCCGGTGTGCTGGGTCATGCCTACTTGTACGAGCTGACGTCGGTCGCAGGCATGGGCGCCGTAGCGGTAGAGGCCGTTGCTTTTTACTTCGTGGGTCTATGCGCTGTGAGTTGTAAAGCCGATCTGTTCAGAAGCACGTCGACTGCGACAATCTCGAGCGCGAGGAGCGCACGATGGCCTCGACTTTGGCTAGACGCCGTATCCGGACACTATACGGATAACCCACAGCACGTGCAATTCCAAAATGCCACGGAGACGAGCCGCGACGTCTCGCGGCGAAAAGCCTCGAGACCACCTTTTATAGCACGTCTACACCAGTCCGAAAATCGGTAACAAAGCATGTTTTCACTCGATTTGCATCCATCAACAATCTACTGGATCGGAGCCGCGATTCTTTTGACAACGGACGCCGAGGTGACCGCGTAGATCTGGTTGTTGCTGAGGGCGAGGCTCGACCAGGAGTTCTCGGGCAGCGGTGATGACCATGTCGTCGGTGTCTGGGACGCAAGATCGCTGATCGTACAGACGATCGAATTGCCCGGCGTCTTGATACCGCACACGCGCTTGCCGTCGTACGCAATTTTGCTGAACTTTGGCGCCCCCGTCACTTGGAGCCACGACACGGTGCCGTTCGTGATGCCGGCGACGGTGGCGCGATGCAAGTTGTTCTGACTGCTGAGCCCGTACATCGTCGCGCTGTTGGCGGCCATGGCCGTGGACAGGAGGTTGCTGGTGGTGGTCTTCCAGACGCGGTTACCGTTCTGGAGCCGGAGGGGGCCGCATTTGACGCTGGTGCCCGACTTTGCGCAAATGTACGTGCCGTCGGTCGAGATTTGGGAAACAGGGTTCAGATCCGCTTTCTCTTTGATTGGCTGAGACAACGAGATCGACTGGAGGTAAAAGTCTTTGGGGCCGACGTCGTATTGCACGATCCAGTCCCCGCCGACAGCAAGAAGCGTCTTGCCCGACCCGCGAGAAGACAGTTGAAGAGGCAGCGTTTGCGACGTAGTGCAGTCGAGCTGGTTGTTGCCGTCCATGAGCAAGCAGACAACCTTGTCGTTCGCAGCGACTTGCGTGTAGCGGCTCGTGGTGGCTGACACCCAGACTGGGGACGGCGTAGGAGCTGGCGTCGGGGCATCGGTGGGAGCAGCCGTGGGAGCGTCTGAGGGAA